TCTGTTAATTGCTTATTTTTTGCTAGGCTACTTACATAAAAGTGATTATTGAATCCTGCCAATACTTCCCAGACTTCATTATATGGCCATTTTAGAGTTGCACGATTTTGCATTTTGTAACTGTTCTGCTATTCGAAGACAACTATTTTCTGTCGATATATCTTAATTAATTCTACAGTTGGGGCGTACTCGATTAGTCCATTCTCCGCTTTTGGCTTTTACATCTACCATTTCGATAAGATATATATATGTATATATATTTATTTATTTACTTTCTTACAAATTTAGGGATGTCTTTCCAGTGTCTTGGTCAGCCTTCTCCAACAGCTCGGGCCCCATGAATGGCGTACTCTATTTTGTCCTCAGGTCTCTGAAAAACATGTCAGCCAATCTATCAATCTGACTAATTCTTGCTCTATCACCACCATTTCGTCTCAGATACCAAAGAACTCTTGCCTTGATGAATTTGGAGGCTTTCATTCGACTTATGAAACCGATGTACATAGTAAAGTTTCCGCCAATGAGACTACAAATCACAATCAGGCCAGTGAAATGGGCAAGACAATTAGTGGTCGGATGGATGAGGATATAGAGAACGAACCCACGCAATTAAGAAAGGATGAACTACCTATTTTGGCAGACTCCTCTCCTCAGCATTGCTACGTGGCCAACAGTTCCCCAAGCTCTGGTTCATTAGCGATCTGCTCCTGCTTGATTTGCTCTGGTCTCAGTCTTGTTGGAACCTTTGACTTCTTGAACGAACTTATTACTCTTTTCACAGCAGTGCACCTCTATCCGCCTTATCCTGCCCCACCCGCCTGGCATGCAGGCAGCAGCGATACAATTTCTGGAATCGACCAGTGAGAATTAACATCCCATCGTTTTTTCATCTATATATATTAGTTAATCATCCTAGCTTCATTTAATTTGTAAACTTTTATTGTAATTGTGAAAATCTGCTAAGAAGATGATTACTATTTTAATCACTTAACAGTTAAAACGATCGCGTTACCCGTTATTCAAATTAAAAAAACTTTTAGAAAGCTACGTTTAAAGAAATTGTTTTGGATTGAAGAAAATCTCTTTTAGAATAAAAGGAATATCAAAGTCTAAATGAACATGGATTGTGAATTAAGTAGATATCAAAAGCTCTATCTGTCATTTTCTTAACTATAAGCTTCTGCTACACCGTTTTTCCCATTTGTTAATTTTACAGGGTTGATTAAAGTATCCATTATTGAAGTCTGTGCTTTGCTAAGTGAGTGAACAATTAACCTCGGAGTAAAATTCTTCGTTTCTTTTATCTTTCACTTTCTTGACAAAATCTCATATTTTGATACTACTGGAATTTCCATCTTATTTATAATAATAAGTTTATTAGATTTTGAAAAGTACATCCTTTAAAATGCTTGGGAATAAAAGTATGTTTCTCAGAAATACTTTCTTCTGAAGTCATTTAGATTTTATAGAATGTGTAAATATCAGAATTATACTTCTTCAAAGTTGTCTTTGCATGGCCTTCAAGGACATCTTATGGCTTAATTGGACTTTAAAAATTGCGGTTGATTGTCTGCTTAGTGATAAGATCCGCTTCATTGCATGTTCTTACTATTCTTCAAAAAGCGTTATTGGTATCTCAAAACTTAAAGGGCCGAATTATCCTCTATATTGAAGGTATGAAGACCAAGATGATGTGGCCTTTTGTTTGGTCGCAGTCTGCTTTCTTTGTACAGAGGTTTTTTGACTTTGTTTTCGCAACATGTTCATATTGGTAGGAAGAATTAGAGGAACGCACCCAGACAAGACTTGTCTCTTTGACGAGTTGTTGTGTGGTGCTAAGAATGGCGAGAGTCACTGACGATGCCAACTACGATGCTTCCGAAACGTCTGGAAATGTACCACGTCCACGGTCCGACTTTGGAAATGATTATGCATACAATGGACTCCGG